TCAAAGAATTTATCTGTTAAAAGATTGTAATTGTCAGCATCAAAGCATCAAAGAGCCCTGTCTACCAGAAAGCAATCAAGTTACTGGAAAAGGAGCAACCATCCTCCATGCTGGCTGTCCACATCCAGCTCAAGGTATGGCACTTATTAGACAGCAGCTAGTATAGACTTTAACCACATGGAACCCCATCTCTCCAGGCTTCCTCTTTGTTTGGCTCCAACATCTTTGTGGACACTTATCTGTCATTGTGGCCTATGAGCCAACAAAAAATGCATCAACTGTGGAAAAGGACACATTCTACCACCAGCTAGCAGCAAATATCCAGTTAATTTCACCACATGATAGACTACTAGTGCATAGAGAATATAATGAGATGAGTGGCTGTGATTGAGCTGGGGAAGTATGAAAGGCCTTTCAAAAGTTACGGAATGGACCATACTGCTTGACCTGGTGGCATTCCACTCCAACTGCTCAGAGATGCCTGAAACCAGTGAACATTAGCCTGCATCAACTGTTCTTAGAAGTGTGACCATCATGCAAAGTACCAGCAGAATTGAAAAATGGCATCATAGTGCCCTTGTACAAAGGATCTCACTCTGAGTGTGGCAACTACAGGCCAATCTCATTGTTACTGGTCTCTGGAAAGGTCTTTTATCATGTTCTGCTTAGTAGGATGCAGCCACTCTTTAACAGACATTGTCCACAACAATCAGGGTTCATTGCTGGGTGGTTGGCAATGGATGCTGTCCTTACCCGCCGGCTTCTGGCGGAGCTTCACCAAACATTTAAACACCCACTTGATATGATATACATCTACATCAAATTGACTTCTGATTTGGTTGACAGGTCAGATTTTGGTTCACACTGAAAGGAGTTGGCATTCCAGATATTCTAAATCTACTGCACAATCTTCACATTGGTACTAGCGAGAGAGTGTGTTGGTTCACAGATTCACCACATTTCTATACAATCTCAGCTGTGTGGCAGGAATGCATCCTCACCCTGACTACTCTGTTATGCTACTGACAGGATACTTGGACTTGCTGCATCACACATTGGATGGAATCAAGATTGGTCAAGACGTGTTCTCAGACTGAGCCTATGCTGACGATGCTGTCCTGCTTGTGGAAAAGTCAGAATTTCAGCACTGTCCTCCAAGGTCTCCAAGATGCGGCCCACATTGTGGGGTTGAATGTCTCATGGTGGAAGACCAAGGTATAGAACCTTGCAGGTGGGCCACCAGAATCTCTGGTGCAAGTGGTGTTGAGTACCCTGGGTAGTGCTGACAAGTTCATCTACCTAGGCTGCAAGAAGAGTTTAAACGGTCACAGCAAACCAGTCATTCATTGATTAATAGGTCTCACTGCTTCCTGCATGAAGTCCATGCTTATGGAAGGAAAAATGTCTGTGCTGAGACAAAGTTCAGGATCTATCAAACCCGTACTACCCGTATTGCTATAAGGGTCAGAAACATGGACCCTCTTACAAGCAAACTTGGAGCAGTTAGAGACATTCCATATTCACTGTCAATGCATAAAATGTCCTAAGCATAAAATGTTTTGACTTTTTGCAAAATGTCGTCATCCTCACAGAGCTCTGACATTCATTCAGGTGCTCATTCTATTCAAAAGTGTTACTGCACGCTATTCTGCCATGTCACCAGGATGGACAAAAACACCCCGGCCCACCATGCTCTCAAGCTTCCTATTGATGTACACCCCGACTCTTATTGATGCCTACTGCGGGGGTGCCCTAGCAATTCCTGGATACAGGATTGAGCCAGATCTGCGAACTTCACTACACAATGCCCGGTGCTGCCTTCAACCATGGTCATTCTGGCTGGTGCAATGGTTCTCAGTAGACTATGCATGTTGACTCAACGTTCATGTTATTAAAGTAAAAAAAATTAATAATCTGAAAATCAATTGAGGTGATATGTACACATTGTCTGTTGAAAAACAGTGACAGCTGTGCTATGTTCACATTTCAGTGAAGATTTCACAGTAAAAAAGTTGTTTCTACACTCATTTCTAGCATGTATGTTCTTAACCACCCACTCTTGTATATTTAGAAGCATTCATATATATGCAGCACTAGCTATATTTTCCTGTCCCAAAGGTGGGAGAAAATTCTACCCATTAGAGTTTGTGTATTCAGATCTGAAGTATTTGTGGTTTTAGTTTATATGGTATGTGAAGTTTCTTATGGAATGTTTTGACAGGGTGATTTATCCATTATAACGAATAAGGGTATTGCTTATCTGTGCAGTAGAGAGAGCTTGTTTGAGAGCTGGTCTGAGATGTGGAATAAACTTCCACAGGAACTAAGGACCATCACAAACCTCAGCATCTTCTACTCCAGGTGCATTATCTTTCCTGGGCCCACTACAAAGAAATTCAGTCACTCACAAACACGTCCTTTGACCTGTAAAGTGCAGCACAGCTGCTAAGACAGTGGGTCAGTTACTTTTTTACATGTATCCAAACATCACTGTCTTTTTACTCATGGCTTGCTCCTGCTCCCATAGATATCAATGGCAAAATACTCATTAACATCAAGGACAGCAGGATCAAGCCAATCTTTTGAACTTTTAAAAATACCCGGTACCCATTATAATATAAAAATGGATTTAATAACAAACGATTACCTGTATGGATAGCCATGGTATTTGGAGCGGAATATCGACAGCAGGAAGCTGAAGAAGAAAACCACCAAACCCAGTCCTACGAGGCATATTACTGGAAAAAAATATTAACTGTGTTTACTAGCATATAAAAACATGGAAAAGATTAACATCTAGAGTCTATACTAAAAATATTATTTATGTCAATCACTTACAAAGAAATTTGGCATAGTTCAGTACTCAAGTTTTGATATATTGTCTTATGATGTTCAGTATCTTCTAACAGGGCATCAACACACACCTGGAAATTATTTATTTGTGGTTATTAAAAAAAAACTTCTTATCAGTATAAGTGTATTATTGAGGAAAAAGGGACAGTAGTTTGCAGCTTTTGGATACAAACACCTTGCTGGAGACTGTGGATATAGACATCTTTGTAAATTATACATTTCAGGCAATATAATGTAATATAAATTCCTTTGATTACCCCTCCCCCCCAGCCAAAATCAATTAAATTCATTCAATATCCCTGTGACATCTGGGATAATCAAGAATGTTAAGTGTAAATTGGAATCTGAACAATCAGGGTTATGTGTGGGGGGTGTGTGTGGAAATCACACTATTCCTATTGAAATAAATGGGAGAAACCATTTGCTTTAGTTCATCTGTAAGAAAGAAAGAGAGAAAGGAAGAAAAGTGAGAGAGAACAAATACCTTATTAAACTCAAGGCAGGTCTAAACTACAAATTTTGCATCGGTGCAGCTGCACCGCTGTAACGCGTATGATGAAACTGCTCTAAGCTGACGGGAGAGAGCTGAAGTCAAAGGGCATTTTGCCAATGACTTCCATGGGAGTAGGATCAGGTTCTAAATGCTGTAAGTGGTCACATTGTGGGGGTCTGGCAAGGGGCCAGCTCAGCTGCAGGAATGCCTGGAGGAATTCTTCCTGACTCAACATTTACATGAGAAACTGAAAAAAAATGAGGGCTTGATATTGAAAGGTGGTGATCACTAAAAACTGAAGGCAGTGGGAGATGCAAACACTGAGCACTTCTCAGAGTCACGCTCTAAACATGTAGAATTTCAGTATCTCGATTAAATTATGACTGAAGCTTAATGGCATATTAGACTGCGATACACAAGAATCTCTTTTTGAAGGACACTGAAAGACATCTACCAATATTTTCATCGATAGGAGCTGATGTAAGGACAGTATACCTGTTCCCTTCAAGTCCTCATGCCTGGGGTGGAGCTCTGTGTGAGTATTGGCATTTCCACAGTTCAGTAACTTTATAAAATTAAATTATTATCTATTAATAATACACACATCACAGGATTGCATCACAAGATAATTAGCCCCCCTTTTTTTTTATAAAAAAGAAGTTAGTAAGTGCCAGTTCAATAAATATGATGAGACTGTCAATTGAATGGACCTGGCTAACCCTAATAGGAATTTTAACATTTTCCAAAAAACACTTTAGCAATTATGCTATAATAAATATATAGTTTGGTATCTTACAATTGACATGTTAGCTCTTTAAATGGCAGATGACAGCTGGCAATTTTCATTATTTCCTCATTTCCTTTTAAACCAGAAAACAAAACGTTAAGACATTTTCAGACATTGCTTCTCCCCATCACTTATGGGCCAGATTTTGCCATCCTTATCAGACTGAGTAAAACTTTACTCTCTGAGCATTAACATTTATTTCAATGGAAATGCTTGTAAAATAAGGTACTATTCATCATGAGTAAGAAAGGCAGAATCTGGCACTAGTGTAATGCAGACTTACAAATCCAAGAAATATGATCAGAGAGCTACAGTCAAATTTAATTCAAGCAACTGTCTATTTTGACATTGATGGTAAGTTAGGGACCGAGGACAAATTTTTCAAAATTATCTTAGCAGCCTACGTCCAATTGAAGGAAACCTGAGAATCACTGTAGATAGCTTGATGAAAAGGGAGGATAGTGCAAAGACCTCCCTTTTTACTGGGGGATGAGGAAATACCTTGAATAAAACCCTCTTCCCCTTTCCTGTGAGGGGACCTCTTCTATGGAGCCAAGAGCTAAGATGACTGAACCTTCTGGTGTAGGGTGCTCTCATGAGATGGGTCCCTGAATAGGGATGGGGAGAGTTGGTGGGTAGGAGAGGAAGTCAAGTGTGTAGCCCATCTCTACAATGTCCAATACATACTGGTCAGAGGTGACTAGAAATGGCAGAAATGAGACAGATGTATGCCATACAGAGTAGATGATCAGGGCTGGGTAGTGAGTGGCATGCTGTCTTTGGGAGTGGAATCAAATCCGCTGCCTAGTTGTAGAGTATGAGGGACAGTGGGATGTAGTGGCCACTCCTGAGGGCCTTCTCGCAGAAGTCTTCTGCCCCATTCTGGCATACTGGTGTGGTCTATAGTAGAGGGCCTGCTTACATGCTGAGACCTGACGTGCTGTCTGGGGTTCATAACCCCAAGGACTTGAGTGTGGCCTTATAGTTCTCCAGTGATTTCATGGCCTCATCCATCTTATCATGAAACAAAGAGCAACCTTCAAAGTGCAGGTCCTCAACTGTGGTCAGCAGATCCTGAATGCTATGTGCATAGCATCTAAAGCCACCTGGACGACTGTTTTAAGAGACCAGTTTCCCTTCGAACACCAAAGTCCAGAACTCCCTCTTGAATTCTCATGGGAAACTATCCACAAAACACCCCACAGCACTCCATATTTTACCAGGATGGCCTAGTTATTGAATATCCTCATTTGGAGGCTTGAGGTGAGAATATGATTTCCATGCCCTTCTGCTCTTTATCCCTGGTCATCGATTTCTGCTGATCCTGATGTGTTTTCACTTGCCACTTTCACAACTAATGAGTCCAGTACTGGGTGTGAGAAAAATTGCTCATAGTTCATATCTGGTACCACCTGTTGGACTTCTTTGAAGTTGGAGCTACCAATACAGAATTTGCCATAAGATCTTCACTGGCTTCAGTAGTCTCTCATTAATGCTTATCACTATACAACCTAGTACCAATGAGTGCAATATATCAAGCAGCATATGAAGCTTTCCTGCACCTTTTTCTATAGGGATCTCTAAATTTGCCACTACTGACAATATAAGTCCTGGAAGACCATATGGTACTCCAGTACAGCTGATGCCTAGTGCAGCAACAGGGCTTCATCTGATGAAGACAAGGACGTTTTGGCTGGTACCTGCTGAGAGACCTCTGACTCCTGTGATTGCATCTGGGCCATGCAGAGGGGATGGTGCTCTCCCATCCACAGGGAAGCTGACTTGAACCTAGAGTATGCTAGGGAGGGTAGGCCCAAGACAAACTGAGGCATCCATTGCATCCATACAGTCCACAGCTTAAAGTGAAATGGCAACAGAGGCCATGGAGGCTGGGTCATGGTTCTGGTATGGATCAGTACTGGCATCACAATCTTCTTGAAGCTAAGCTCCCCTACCCGATGGAGTGGTGTGTGTGTGTGTATATGGAGCTGGTGTGTGATCCTGCTGGACCCCTGGATGTGGTTGGGGATGACTGTGGGCTGTCTTCCAAGTCCCAAGATGACAGGTATCACTCTTCTGGGAGCAGGGGAGCTCTCACTGGCATTGGCGGTATCAGCACCTAGTCTGTGGATGGCCTTCTGTGCCACTTCTGTCCTGAGGACCTCTGTTCAGCATCCAGTCGATCCCAGTGTTTTCCCCGCACCACGGCCAACTTAGAGGGTGCCTCATTTTGAAGATGCATGGAGCACAGACCTTGAGGATCTACAGGACCTCTGATCTCCTGACAATCTGGAGGCCTGGGAACTAGGGTCTGAATCCAGTCACATGGACTTCTTGAGAAGGGATGCCCGAAAGCAAGACTCTCTCGAACACTGGTTCCATTTTGAGAAATAACTTCCAGATCAAACATATACCCAGAATATGCCCCTCACCAAGGCAGAGTAGACATCTTGTTTGACCATCATTGAGAGGTATGAGGCCTTGCAAATGAAGCAGTGCTTGAAACCCAAGGACTTGTAGTCTGCCATGCAGAACTGAAGGTGGTACTGGTCCTATTGATGACCTGTGGTCCCATTGGTCCTGAAGACTAACTAGCTAAAAAGGTAAGTAACTCTGAAAGGACCTGCTGTGACACACACCATGGCAGTAAGAAGGAACTGAGTGTGAGGCAGCTCTACCCTTTATACTCTCATAGAATGCATGAGGAAGCAAAGGATGCATGCTTTGTCCCTCAGTCACAGCTAACTAGAAAGTTTTCTAATGCATCTGCACTGGATGTGCACTTATCAGCTGTGGAATTATACGGACTATCACTCGAACCACCACCAGGGTTATCAGCATTAATGGCTACACATTTTTGAAGGGATGCTAAATCTTAGGCTTCAGGTTTTAAACAATCTCTAACCATAAGAGATTAGGATAAGAACTATTGTGGGAGCAGATTATCCCACATCTGCCTACTGCAAAGCACTGAAACATCTGGTACTGGCCAGTGTTGGAGACAGGTTGTTATACTGAACTAGATGAGTCTGATCCAGTATAAAATTCCTATGTTCCAATGAAAGTCAATGGGGACTCAAGATTCAAAAGGCCTAAATCACTTTTGAAAATAGGACTTAGGTGCTTTTGAAACTCCTACCTTAAATCTCACTGACTTCAACAGGACTTAGGCTCCTATATTAATTAGGTGCTTTTGAAAATGTTACCCTTTGGCTCATAAGTCACTTAGGACTTGTCTATACACAAAAATGGCAGTGCTTTAACTATACCCTTATAGTTAGAGCAGTGCAACCCACCTAGTGTGGATGCAATTATAGAAGTATAAAAATGTTTTATACTTATATAGCTATTTCCATATGGGAAGATCATAAGGCCTAAGCTATATGGGTATAAGGTACCTTTATGCTGCTATAAATGTGTCCATACTAGGTGTCGGACTTGTCTTATTTTCTAAAATAAATCACATCCCTAACTGAAATAGTTATACTGTTATAAAAACTGTGTGCAGACCAGGCCTTAGGCACTTTTGAAAACTTTAACCTGAATGGCAATTCTTACTTTTGTGTTTCTCAAAATGCCTTCAATAAGTAAAATTCAGAGATCCTACAAATTCCACTAAATAACTTACTTCTCCTTTTTCCAACATCCCCTTTGGAAGTAGCAGCTTCATTCAGAAGAACCATTCCCATGGTGATAGCAGCATCTATACAGTTGTTGTCAAGGAAACAGCAGAAATATGGATGTCTCAGAAATCCATGAGAGTGCATCTGTGAACTAAGGTTTTCATTTTCTATAAACCAAAAATATCAAAAATGCTCTATTCCATAAATAGGCTGAAAATTTATGCAAAACTGTAGGGAGACAAATATTTAGATATAGTGATAATTTTCATTGTGTAAGCTACATTTAGTAATCTACTTTGTGTGTTAAAGTTAACAACATGTAGCTTTACATAAAACTCAAAACATTTTAGAACAGAAATAAAATTTGAAAGATTTTAAAGGGATCAGGTAGGAGCAATGATTCTTTTGTATTTATGTAAATATTATAAAAACATAAGCCAACTATGTGAAATCTATAAAGCAAAGTAATTTTACCAATGCAGAATGAATACTGGCAGAAAACACATGCAGTGTACATACATATAATTCTGTTAATTCATTGACTAATTAACTGATGCAAACTGAAGCAGCTGACTGCATGCGGCACACCCTTTTCAATGCTTTCAGATTTACAGGATCTCTCTCCATGCCGAAATATTGGTTAATATTTTGTTCAGCTTAGAAAAATCTCAAACAAGAAAGTTTTTTTTCCACTTGCATTTTTATTGTCTCATTACAAGCTTTACAAGTGCATAATGATAAAACAATTTAACTAATTTAGCATGATCCTCAGCCATTCACTTAATTGTTTGAAACTATCAGTGAAAAGGAAGTTACTACTGTACTTAACATCTGTTCTGAACAGGAGGCATGCATGAATGCTATATTGGAAGATGGAGTGCATAATGCATCATGGAAGTTGTATTTGTAATCAGCCATTTAAAGAAATAAGAACTTCACTGGTACACTGTGTACCTAAAGATATTTTTTGGCCAATATTATTTTTGCCGCAAAAAGCTTTGGTTAACTTACTTCACCTGAGGGTAACAAATTGTTCATCTTGTTTTACTGTTTAACAACAGTATATTAACATGCTACAATCTCCTTTGTGTTTTTATTCCAAAATACAATTGAGAGTATTTTAACATCTGTTGCTCACATAGTAGCGTAACACGCGTCCATCCATCTCCAACTATCCCCTCCTCTGAGCCCTGGTTTGTCTTGGTGCTCAATAATTGCTTCCACAAGTACCTCTTATTGAAGAGATCACTTGTATAGAGGACTTCATTAGAATATCAGTTTTTCACAATTTTATCCACTCACTTTTCAGAATACTGGTACTATGTTCCTGGGAATGACAGCTAGGAACTTGCCATCGCCTCTGAGTTAGTATACTGATATGGATAGCAAAAAACATGACTTACTTGCATGTGTCTGGAAGGGCAACCCAATGTTAAAAAATACTTACTTCTCTAATGAGTGAAAAACAGAATATAAAACCAAAGGTAACTCTCTAATACAGTTTGGAAAAAAACAATTTTGTTAGTGTTACTATTCCAGGGTTAGGTGTGGGAGAAGATAGACCAACTATCAAATTAAAGAGAGGAGAAATTGCTACAGACTTATGGAATAAATGTACAGCAGACATTTCAAACATGCCACATCTATGAACATCGCTCGTATCCAGTAACATACCATAAAAAGCTCTCAAAAGGCTCCCCGGAGCATCTATCCCTTACTGCAGTGGGTCTTAACCAGGAGTATGTGCACCTGTGGGGGTATGCAGAGGTCTTCCAGGAGGTACTCAACTCATCTAGATCAGTGTTTCTCAACATGGAGGTTGCATCCCACAGGGGGTCTTGGGAATGGTTTAGGGAGATCGCAGGGCCGACATTACAGGGTAGCAAGCAATGCAACTGCCCGTGGCCCCATGCCACGAGGGGGCCAACAAAGCTAAGTTACATGGTTCAGATCCGACACCTGGGGCTCAGACTTCAGACAAGGCTCACTAGTGAAAAACAGGCTCAAGTATCACACTGAAATGTAAGTACAATATTTATATTCCAATCAATGTTTTTTATAATTATATGGTAAAAATGAGCAAGTAAGCAATTTTTCAGTAATAGTGTGCTGTGATACTTTTGCATTTTTATGTCTACTTTTATAAACAAGTAGTTTTTAAGGGAGGTGAAACTTGGGGGGGTATGTGAGACAAATCAGACTCCTAAAAGGAATACAGTAGTCTAGAAAGGTTGAGAACCACTGCCCTATTGATTCCACTGAATGCACACCTTGGTATTCTTCATACCTGACCTAAGTTTTATTTCTCAAAAATAAACTATGCCTGAAGTTTTAGTTACAATTCCCGATTTCTAGGGACTTAAGCACATTCTTAAGCACTTTGTCTACATGTTTAAAGTTAAGCACATGCTTAAGTGTTTTGCAAAGTTCCCATTATCAACAATGGAAGAGGGTTATTGGAAGTTGGAACTAAACAATATTATGACTGTAAGAGCCTCTACTGTATCTGTGACAATAAGCAGAAAGTATTGTAGAAATCCAAATAGCATTTGATGGGGGGGGGGGATTCTAACAAACCATCAGGACTAATTCATGTCACATTTTATTATGATGACACTATATTGCTATTTGGAGATACAGTGATGGAATAAAATACTACATCTTACTTAGCTCTCTATTAAGTTTGCTCATATGAAGCGGTCAACTGCTTTCAGAAACAATCAGTGAAGTGGAATTAAATTTCTGTAAAGAAAAGAAATAATACTGCCAACACATAATCTCATTATGTAGATAAAGGAATTGTATTAAAGTATTAAAAAGCTGCACATATTAAATACTGCAAAGTTTTCCAAATTTCAGCTTAACAAGCTTTCCCTAAGGGTGCAGAATCTGGGCTGTTTCAGAGTGAACTCTACTCTAATTATTGCTTAGTTTCTTATCTAAATACAAATAGCAAAAATTAAGTTAAACTCATGTCCCAGGTTTGATTGAAGCTGGAAAAAGCAAGGATATTCACAGATAAGACTGTTCTGACCTTAACTCACCTCTTTGTGCACAAGAAACGAGCAAAGAACTCTAAGTAGATAGGCTGCAATAGGAGTGTGATAAGTAGCTGCCATTATTCAGAATTCCTTACTGTTTAATATCAGACAGTGTTATGAGGTTTTCTTCCTATTTTTTGTTTTTTAAATGAACAGAAATGAAAATGACAAAGGAAAAGAACATCAAAATAAAACTCTTCTGATCTAGTTCATGAGTCCGTTGGGCCCAGTGCTTCAGCTGCTGAAAGTTTTGGTTTCTTATACTGATATTGAAACAGTTCTTTGGAAATGTAGTGTCAACTTTTAGCTCTAGTTTTGTTCATGTACTTGCTACTCACTTCATCCATTTGCTGAGGGTGTGTGCATTAAAAGCAGTATATGCCATACACAGTTTATATATATACACACACACACACACACCTATCTCATAGAACTGGAAGGGACCAAAGGTCATTGAGTCCAGTGCCCTACCTTCACTAGCAGGACCAAGTACTGTCCCTAACAGTCCCACCCAATGGCTCCCTCAAGGATTGAACTCACAACCTTGGGTTTCCAGGCCAATGCTCAAACCACTGAGCTATCTGCCAGTTAGAAGTTTATTTTCCTCTCCATGACACTTTTGGACTGATCCTGCTTTACTGAAGTCTTGCTTACAAGACTCCTGCTAATATGTCCCAGAATGATGTTTGCTTTTTTTGCAACATGACTCACTATTTAGCTTGTGGTCCACTATGAACCCCAGATCCCTTTCTGCAGTACTCCTTCCTAGACAGTCATTTCCCATTTTGTATGTGTGCGACTGACTTTTCCCTCCTAATTGGAGTATTTTGCATTTGTCTTTATTGAATTTATTCCTGTTTACTTCAGTTTGTCCAGATCATTTTGAATTTTAATCCTATCCTCCAAAGCATTTGCAACCCCTCCCAGGTTGGTATCATCCACAAACTTTATCAGTGCACTCTGTATACCATTATCTAAATAATTGATTTGAAGATACTGAACAGAACCGGACACAGAACTGATCCCTGTGGGACCCCACTTGTTATGCTCTTCCAGCATGACTCTGAACTACAGATAACTACTCTCTGGGAATGGTTTTCCAACCAGTTTTTCACCCACCTTATAGTAGCTCCATCTAGGTTGCATTTCCACAGTTTATTTATGAGAAGGTCATGCAGGACAGTATCAAAAGCTTTACTAAAAATCAAGATTATACCATGTCTACCGCTTCCACCCTATCCACAAGTCTTGTTACCCTGTCAAAGAAAGCTATCAGGTTGGTTTGACGCAATTTATTTTTGACAAATCTATGCTGACTGTTACATATCACATTATCTTCTAGATGTTTCCAAATTGATTGCTTAATTATTTGCATCATTAATTTTCTGGGTACAGAAGTTGAGCTGACTGGTCTGTAATTCCCCGGGTTGTTCTTATTTCCCTTTTTATAGATTGGCATTATATTTGCCTTTTTCCAGTCTTCTGGAATCTCTCCTTTCTTCCATGACTTTTCAAAGATAATCACTAATGGCTCAGATATCTCCTCAGTCAGCTCCTTGAGTATTCCAGGATTTCATCAGGCCCTGGTGACTTGAAGACATCTAATTTGTCCAAGTAATTTTTAACTTGTTCTTTCCCTGTTTTAGCCTCTTCTGGTCCTACCTCATTTTCAGTGGCATTCATTACATTAGACGTACAACTACCACCAACCTTCTTGGTAAAAATCGAAACAAAGAAGTCATTAAGCACATCTGGCATTGCCACATTCTTTTATTACTTCCCCCCTTTGAGTAACAAGGCCTACCCTGTCCTTTATCTTCCTCTTGCCTCTAATGTATTTGTAGAATGTTTTCATGTTACCCTTTATGTCTCTAGCTAGTTTGATCTCATTTTGTGCCACATACTTGTGTTATTTGTTCATATTCATCCTTTGTAATTTGACCTAGTTTCCACTTTTTGTAGGAGTCTTTCAATTTTTAGATCATTGAAGATCTCTTGGTTAAGTCAGGGTAGTCTCTTGCCATTCTTCCTGTCTTTCC